CAAAGTATCCGACAGGTCTAAATGGAAGTCTCAACATTAGAAGTATAAGGTCATGATTTTAACTTAGACAATTGTAACTGGTCCTATAGACAATTGTCCACTATAGGTGTTTGTGTAACAATTTCTGGATATTATTTCTCCAAATAATTGATCTAAAATTCTACAGACTCTAGAGTACAGAGTACATTTAAAGACTCATGAAAAAGACAAAATTTTACACGAACCCGTATAAATAGAAATTTAGCAAAAACCAGATCCGACCTTGTAATTCTACTGTTTAGAAATAAATCATTCTTTTTTCATAATTACCTGGTCGACGTGCCCTAACTGTTTTGTTAATTATCATATACGTGCGAGTAGTAATTCGTTATAATTATTGTCTGGCCGCCGGAGAGAATGTGATCGATTAACTAAAATTTAGGGCAAATTCGCAATATTTTGACATAATTATTTTAAAAAAAGCTACAAATCAAATGCCCCTACAGAGTTACATTATCTTTCAGCGGCCGGACAATACGATAACTATTTTTTACTTCGATAATAATAAGTGTAGTAATTTTAGGAATAAAAAAAATTAAATAAATTCGGAAAATGCAAACGATTTGTTTATTTATTATTCTATTTAGTCTAATGAGGAAAATGCATGAAATATATTGAATTATATTTTTTATGAAACTAATATCGGAGGTGACCGAAATTTAAATCGCTTCATGAAAAAGTATGGCGTTTCGAGTTTGAAAGAGTGTGGTTATAACGAAGGATGGTCTGTAGTCCAATGTATCTCAAATGACGTGTGTACATGATTGCGTTGTGACGAAATTGATTTCAACTGATGTGTACTCAGAATTCGTCCGGGGATACGGAGATCTGGTAACATTGTTAGCAAAGACTTGAATAGTTATATTGTTTTTAAAATTAACACGTACAAGATTTTGCACGCTGTCTTATCTGTTCGACGTAAGTAACCATTGTATGTCCATTAACTGCTGTGAAATGTTCAAACAAATGGACGTGATGTTACTGAATGACATGTTTCAATATAATAAATAGGAAGCTTCGAAAAGAATAAATAAGAATTCAATGTCATTTATTTTAACTATTTCGATGATAATTATTAAAAAAAAATGCTCTTCTGTATCGACTTTTCACTTTTTATTTTATTTTTTTATTGCCCTTGTAGGCAGACGAACGCACGAACCACCTGATGGTGAGTGGTTACCGTCGCCCATGGAGTTCAGTAATGCAAGGGGCAGAGCCAAGCCGCTGTCTTGCCTGCCACTGCAAAAAATATGTTTTCATTTTCGCGTATATTATTATTATTTTAAAATCGCGACATTTCGGATACTTATGTCTTATTCTTGATCACGGACGACTAATTGTTTCTCGAAATTTCAATACTGTTATGAGTAGGTTAAAAAAAAGTATAAGTAATGTTTATCGATATAATATGAGTTCCTTTACGTATAGAATAAAAAAACCCAACAGAGGTTTGGTGTTTCAGCTTCACAAACGGAGTAACGCAGGTGCTCGATAAGCTCTAACAATATTCTCTCTTCGACTTTGGATATTGCATTATTAATAATAATAATAATAATAATTTATTTATTTGTATAGAATGCAGGTACAAGTATGGTCTTAGTATAAAATATATTCAATCCCACTACATTCTGCCTGTGGGCATACAAATTATTTTAATGGTTTCACTACCAACTCCCTATGCAACGTTGTATTTTGAAAATATTAATAAATAACAATGTCTTCGATGCTTACCGGCATAATTTGAATACCTTTTGTACCGTAGTCACAGAAGAATTCGTGAATAATTTTTACGATACATTTATCAATGAATGTATACGAAACTCATAAACCAGTTCGCTCGCTCTTGCACATTAGATTTAGTATAGTTAGTTAAATTCGTATAGTTAGCTAAAAATAGTTTAAATTCGTAGTAGATTCTCCGTTCCAATGATTTAGTTTTAATTGATATACCTATTAGATGTAGTTAGCGGTTATCTTAATATTCAAATTCATCTCAATGATGCATTTTTAATTGATACATTAATGTGAATGTCGTTAGTGGTTATTCAATATTCAAATTATGGGCATACCGCTCAATACGTTGTCCTCTTTTGTTAAATTTAAATCATAATCTTCATTCTAAGAAGCTACAGCGAAAGTAATGTCTTGTATTTTTTACATTTCAAATTCGACCCATATTTCTCAATTGACTACACAATACATTACTTTCACTATAACATCGAAGGCAAAACATGTTTTTTTTTTTATTATTTGACAGCATTTGCATGGCGAGATGCAAACCGAACACGGTTACTTACTGCCGTACTTACTTTTCTCTACCTACCTACACATACTCGCATGTAAAAAAAAAATTACAAGGAAAAGTGCTTTATATTTTTGAAACGTAGAAAAGTATTACCTAATGAACTTACTTATTATTGGGTATTCGTTTTGTGACCATTATAGGGTAAATCAAATATCAGAGCCCAATAGGAAATACCTAATAAATCTTACATTTTACGCTTATTAAATCCTAGATCTATTAATAAAACAAATAACTTAAAATATGGTTAAAGTCGACGTTGTCAACAGATGTGGGTTTTCGTCTCGTGACCTGTATGGGGAATATAAAGCACGTTAACAAAATAGGGAAACTTGTTAACATTAACCGTAAATTAGAATTACCATAATATGAGAAGTATTAATAAAGATCCTGTGTCAATACTTAGTACCTATTCAGTCTTGTCTATTTCGATCCTTCTATATTATTCTTTAACAACCTTTTTTTTTTCTTAATTCTTTATTCGATATTCTATCTTGTTCTGTCTATCTCTTCTTTATTCGGTGTGATTGGATCTCCCCGCGCGGGCGAGGCTCACTAAATCACTAAATGCCCTAATCACCACGCAAAGTATATTTATTGCAGGTTTGAAATTATTCTTTCATCTTGAAAGTCATTCGTGAAAAGTATTAAGTACCTTTTTAGTAGAAAATTTGTTATTTATCTCCTGTATTCGAACACTGGCATGGTCTCATCGTTTTTTACGAATACACAGCGGTTTATATTTTGGACCACGACCACATCTAAAGTATGCCACAAAACAATGCCGTATAACTAACTATTCGTAAGTCGCAGTATGTGTATTGATAAGGTTGTATGTTTGATAATAAAGGCAAATCGATTCAATTTAAAGATTCAATACTTTAAAGTTTAGTATTTAAAATAATATACCTATGACAAATTTCGAAATTATCTATTCATTAGAATATAATTTTCACTATAACCACAAGTACTTATAATGCAATTGCCCTTAGAATGTAGCGTAGAATTAATAGCTAGATCCAAATGGCAAATTCGTACCTACTGCTGTATGATTAGAGTTCATATTTTTAACTTAAAATGTAAACAAAACTTCTTTTTATGACCTACGCTCGAAACTCCCGCATTTGTGGCTTTTCTTTGTACATTGTATGAGTATTTCAGTACATGTACCTCTTGTGGTTACACTACGATCAAAATCCGCTGCAATTTGTCATACCCATTTCCCAAACTTAATTTAATATTTTATTGTTACAAATGCGAAAATGCGGCTGTGCACCTTGTAGAATGGGTTCGAAGTCTTTACGGCTGCCGAACTGGTAATCGGCTTGTTTTGTGCTGCGTACTCATATTTTTTTTGAATTATCAGAAAAATTGGTTTAATTACTCGTATTAACATCTCACCTGTTTCTGCTGCGAAGTAGGTAGTGTGTTCCGGTTTGAGGGTTAGACAGTACTGACACAATACAGTTCATGCTCCGACCCTATCTCTCGAGGATGGGAACTTGGAAGGTGTGATATCTATTCGCTCTGCTAGTCACTCAACGCGTGACGGGCGTGACTTTGCCTGTCTATTTACATAAAGTCCTAGATCAATTTCAAATTTTGTAACTTCTTAAGTAAAAATTCCTTACGAAGAAAGCCGGCTGCGTTTAATCCAAGCAATCTATTGCCCCCCAGGAGTACAACTAGAGAACCTTTGTCGTGTAATCCTTATTTTATTTTTCGTAATTTCAATAGATAAAAATTGGCAAACTTCTAAAATTACGAAACATTTCTCTTGGTCCGCGGTTTCAGAAATCAACAAACAACAAAATAAAATCAAACCACACAGCCAGCCGTTTTAATTATTTTCGCAAAAAATAATAATGTAACCTATCACTTGGTGTTATAGGAAAAAGAAATGTCATATTTCCATTCCGAACAGCAGTTGTACATATTTTTAGTTCTCTATTCGGGTAGTTTTAATAGAACAGTCAGGAATAGCTTTTTAAAAAACATTTTCTTTAAATATCTGGGCACCTTCGTTTCTTCATAAGCTAAATGAGTCAAAGCGACATCCACACAGGGCGCCATCCAAGGTGGCACAATAATAACAAAGAAAAAAAAACTAAATTCTATATAGGTACATTAAACAGCCCAAAATAGTATTTTCTCCTATACCATGACTACCGAAAACAATGTTGTACACGAAACAAGAACTTGTTCAACCAGACTCCGAAACTTAACTTTTTGCCTTTGTAGGAAGACGAGCATACGGTCCAAATGATGTTAAATGGTTATCGTTGGACGTCGGATGTAAGCAATGCCAGATGAACAGCTAAGCTGCTGTTTATCGCAAAGATCTTATAAAGATGCTGACTCCAACCAGGCATCGACCCCGCACAGAACTGTTGTACATCCTTCAGTTAATTCATGCGACCAAAAGATAAAGAGAGCAATCTATACTAATATTATAAAGAGGAAAGATTTGTTTGTTTGTTTGTTTCGAATAGGCTCCGAAACTACTGGACCGATTTGAAAAATTATTTTTCCATTAGAAGCCGACATTGTCCCTGATGAACATAGGCTACTTTTTTTTAATTTTTTTTAATTTTTTTTGTTTGTTTCATGTGTGTTTTAATGTTTCCGAAGCGAAGCGAGGGCGGGTCGCTAGTTATTAATAAATTAGTTAATTTTCCTCGCCATCAACAACGAATACGTCAATAACCACGCGTATAAATTCAGGTACATAAGCCTGGCGGTAGTACTTGAAATTTAGTTTCGTTTGGGTTTTATTAGCGCGCGGTCGTTGGGTGTTGCGAAACTACTTTACAAATACAATGCAGTCGTTTCTTATATTTGTTGTCGCACTCGCGTGCTTTCAATCTATTGATTGTCGGAGTGAGTACATTATTTTAGTAACGCAGTTTAGGACCATAAAAACATTACGGAAGAAGTTGATATAACTTTATTTATTTAAAAAAAAAACATATTGATATGTGGCGTGTGTCTAAGTTAAGTTTATATGTATACCCTCTGTTTTCTTTCATTTGAAATAAAATATCATAAATTTCCAGAGTTACAGCCACTATCGTGCGATGATATACGACAGTTCGTCAACGGTCACAATTTGCGGCGTGAACAAATAGCCAAGGGTGAAATATCTGGACAGCCGGCAGCGACCCAAATGAAATACATGGTATGTAAATCAATTGTAATTTTGGCAGCGGTTTGGCTCTGCCCCTGGCATTGCTAACGTCCATGAGCGACGGTGACCGCTTACCATCAGGTAGGCCGTATGCTCGTATGCCTACAAAGGCAATAAAAAAATAATAAAAAAATTGTATACTATCAAGCTCAATTTTATATTGTAAGTTCCGATCATCGTACATCGGAACATCAAAACTATTTAAAAACAAAACGAATATAGCTTAGAGCAATAACTTCAGATATCTATCTTCTATCTTCTTCTTCTATATAATAAAAATGAATTGCTGTTCGCTAGTCTCGCTAAAACTCGAGAACGGCTGGACCGATTTGGATAATTTTAGTCTTAAATTATTTGTGGAAGTCCAGAGAAGCTTTAAAAGGTAGATAAATATGAAAACGCTCGGAATTAAATAAAAATAACAATTTTGTTTTCCCTTTGATGCGTCGGACGGATTCCTTTTGTTTGTTTTAAGTTTATTTTATACAAAAGTTTAGTTCTTTTATTTATCGATTGCGGCACTACGAAATCTGCCGGGTCAGGTACTTTTCAATAAATATTAAAAACTTTCAACAGATTTGGGATAAGGAGTTAGCTGCGAAAGCTGCAAAGTGGGCTTCGTCGGACAATGATTTCCATAATCCAGACAGGAGCATAGGTTGGTGACAGTAAACTAATTTCAAGATCAAGTCATGTTTTCATATTTTCTTAAAGAGATAGATACACGAATTGTTGTAGTCCTTCGCAATTACCTACATTGCAGTATTATTTAATCGGTTCCAATCACGATTTTTAATTTTAGTGAGTTTCCAATACTTGAATACGTAGTAATACGTAGTTAAAAAATAAATAGTAATTATAATCTTGATAATTGTTTTCTATTTAAGTTCTCGGTAAAATGATAGTTAACGTTTAAGATTTTCTTTTAGAGGCATAATTAAGACAGTGCTGAATAAGTTTCGTGAAACAATAAACCGATTTTTTTCGTTAGGATGTTCAGTTATCGTTTAAATTACAATCTATACTCTCAAATTAAAATTAAAATACACATTTCCAGCATCCGAAAGGTTTTCAACGGGCGAGAACTTGCACTGGTATATGACGAGCAATAAAAATCACAAGATCAACCCAGATTCCGCCCTCGAATCTTGGTTCAATGAACATGAAAACTACAAATTTGCGCCCTTAAAATCGAGCGACTTTCAAAAAACTGGTAAAAAGCAGATCGCCCACTACACTCAGGTTAGTAAAAATCTCCTTTTTTATTTTTAGTTGTGATAACTAAATTAAATTAAAGAAATATAACCGTCGAGGGTAAATATTTGCGATTTGGTAATGAGACTTTTTTTTAAATCGGTACAAATGCAAATAAAGTAATTTTGATCGTTAGTTACGATAAACAAGGTTTGAAATGATGACAATACGTTTTGTACTTTTGGATTCTGTAGACAAACAGCAGAAAATAAATTTTTCAAAAAAAAAAACTCCGTAGCTCAACTCAACGCGTAAGCATATTTGTCTTAAACAAATGTTTAAAATGATATGGATTCTAAATTCGTTTTCCTCTCTTGACTTTTACAACAAAAATAAATTTTCAAATTAGTTTTAACCAGATTAGAGTGTTTGGAATTTCAGATATTCTTGGTAACACGATACTTAGAAGTTTGCAAAAATATAGCACTCTCATCCACTATCTCTCATAGTTTTATTTGTTTCTATCTGATGAATCTTTTGTTAGTATACATACACCTTGCTACTACGATAAGGGATTTTCTGTATATTTAATTAGTCAGTATTCCAATTATGAGCTAACCAAGTTCAAAGTATCAGCGGAAAATTTAAAATCTATTTATTGCCTAATTCGCTTTTTACAAATAGTTAAGTAGACAGACAAGAAACAATGAAGTTTATGTATAAAAAGTAATTAAAGATGTATTCATCAAAGGTCATTGGGCACCCCTAGTTAGTTCCATGTATACTCCAATACAATATAATTTGTTATTTCTCTTCATCCAATATTGTTGTACATATTATGTACCTTATTAATTATCCCTCAATGGAATGAGACTGTTGTGCGCTTTGAATGATAAAACACGAAGAGTGGCGCGGTGAATATTAATTTCAAAGTTTTACTTAAATATTCTACGGTACGAATTTGCGTTGACAGATGAGGCAGAAATCTTCCGCAATTCACGATTCCTTTAATATACCGATTTTTTTTTTAAATAGTTTTAGCACACTTGAGGCACGCAGGGAGTTCTGTGAAACTATTAAAAACCTGTGTAGTATCTATCGTGTATTTTATTATTCTGTATCGGCATCTATGCATAGTTGCATTCGGCTAAGGCTGTCGGCTTTTTCTAATCTACGGACGTTTAATCAACTATTTTTCAGAGAATATAATACTTCTGTGATACTCTGTATTATTAAGATTTTCATCCAAATCCGTTATCTTTTTTTGTACGGAAAAGTTTAGAATGAAGTATTCAAAAAATAATAATTGGGGCGTGGCATACCCGGTGTGATTAGGTTGTATTGGTCAGAATCGAATAAATATGCAGACCCAACTAAATTAGAATATTGGTATTATACTGTTTTCCAGATGGTGTGGTCTGATAGTGATCGCGTTGGCTGCGCTATCGGCACCTCGCGGACTGCACAGATGAAATCATTCTTCGTTGTGTGCAACTATGGACCTGCGTACGTTGCAATTCCTTTACTAACTATACAAATTTAACATATGTCATATCAATGATTAAATTGATTAAAATTTTTAGTTAGAACAAGAAAAAAAGTGACAGGATCCATTTTCTTTCTTTCTTTCCTTAGAGATTTTCCAGGAAAATATTCACTAATGAGGTAATTTTATTCAAACTAGTGGTCCCCCGGTAGTCGAAATTCGACTATAATTAGTTAAAATTATAAGTTTGTACACTATTATGATTCTATTGTCACTTATTACTTACTTATTATACTTCTATAACCACAGATTTCGCCAAGACTGCACTTTAACTATTGCAATTTGACCACGGACTATAAGCAATAAGAAAAGTTTGACAATAAAGGGGATTGAAGGGTGGGGCAGCCGTTGTAACTATACTTGAGACCTTAGAACTTATATCTCAATGTGGGTGGCGCATTTACGTTGTAGATGTCTATGGGCTCCAGTAACCACTCAACACCAGGTGGGCTGTGAGCTCGTCCACCCATCTAAGCAATAAAAAAAATATATAGTATGCATGCGTGTGTGTTAAATGCATGGTAGTGTGTGATGTTTTTTTAAAATTGATTTAATGTATTATTTATGCATAATTTAAAGAAATATTCACATTCTGCGCTCTCTTCTCTATGTCCTCTATAAGTGTGGAAAATTTCATACTCCTCCGTCCGCACAATTTTCGTAAAAATGAGTACAAAGTTTTTGCTTCACATATTAATATACAGATACTATTTGTTTTACAGTGGGAACTATCTAGGCAATATCCCATACAAATCCGGAGAGCCGAGCAATCGTCTCATCTGCGGCGTCGGCGACTGCAGTAAACCTTATGGAGATCAATGCTAATCACTACAATATTTATAATCTTTATTCATTCTTTTCTTATTTATTATAAAATTTTCAAAGCAATTATTTTAAACAAAACAAAAAATATTTTCACTCGATTTACTTATGAATGAAAACGTGCTTGAAATAGTTATTAGTAAAAAAAAAACGGTTATTGGTAATGTAAGTAAGGACAAGACTTCTATTACAAGATTATTATATTTGTATTGCTACATAAATATCTCAATATTTTAGGGGATACCTGTTGAAAATGTGCACCGACTAGTTATTACCAATTTTGTTACTGTTTTTTCCTACTGATTCCAGACACTTTATTAATATTATAAAGACTGATAAAAGATTATTTTAAAAATATTAGACATATTTTCTTTTTAAATCCTCTTTCTATATATATATATGTAATGTGTTCGCTTCAAGCAATAAGAGGCTAGTAATACTGCATTTAATATTGTTAAGTAGTTAGGTTAGTTCAATGTTTGAGGAATGTCTCTTACTAAATAGATATTTATGTATTTTTTTAAATGGCATGCTGGCAACATTAGAATCTTCTGAAATCCAAATTGTGTGGTTGTTATACAGAAACGCAAAAAGTGTATTTCCTATTTTATATAATTATTGAACCTTCTACGTGAAGCATGTTTTTAAAAGAAAACATGCGGAAACCTAGAATATTAAAAAAACAATCTAGTGATAACAGAAGATAAATCACAGACATGAAGTAATTTAATGTATTTATAAGTGTTTGACTGATATTCATTCCTAAATAAATTTTGTTCGAATTTAGTGTATTGTTTCTATCTTCCCAAAAAATTTGATTAAAACATCAATCACGTTTTTATTACTTCATATGCGCAGACGAGGTTAAGGGTTGATATCTATGATTCATATTTTACTCACTGATAGTAGGACCTCTTGTGACTCCGCACGAGTAGGTACCACCGCTCTGCCTATTTCTGCCGGGAAGCAGTAATGAGTTTCGTTAAAAAAAAAAAAAAAGACATGTGGCACTCGAGGACTGCCGCGGTAAAGCTATTGCATAGCATTTTTTATGAACATTGCAATTTTAGACAATAATAATTTAATATTAAAACAATAATAAAATAAGACCAGGCTTATTTATAAAAATTGACAAAAGCAAAACATTAACTTTCATGATGCGCATGCAGTGCGACGTTACGCCGCGTGCTTATTCACAAATACTACACAAGCGCAACGTGTGAATGTGTTGAACACGAGCTACATGGCAGGCGGTGTGGGGGTGTTTGGTTTTATTTTTGTTACGGAATTTCTTGATTCGGTCGCCGCGCTCAAAGCCCGCGATAAAAGCTATGCAATAGCTTAAAAATACAAGTTGTTCTAATGGTTTTTTCATGGGCGCTTTTGGTTTTCTTTTTTTTATTGGGAAACTAATACGAGATCCACCCCTAGAGGGCACGCAAGGTATCTGGGACTTGACGGTCTGCAGATGTTGGGAGCAGACCGCGGACCCAAGGATGAGTGACCTGTAATTTCCTGTCGGTGGCCATGATACTGCGACACGCAGTTTTGGTTACTAGCAGTTATTATGAATACTGGTTAAAATTGGATTTTATTGTTTGTGAAATAAGGGTTTTTTTTTATTATTATTTTTTTATTTTTTTTACGTTTATACATTTAATATAAATATAAATATTTACTAACAATCAACGCCACGTTAACTGGTCCCTGGTTCTTTACGAACTTAGCACGGGACCAGTTAATTAGTTGTTATTAATGTGAATGACGCCACCGTTATATTTGAGGCCAGTTCCAATAAAATTATAATATTACTCCTGCCATTACTCAACTCAAACCGGAATACTGAAATGACGCTTCGGAGGGAGTGAAGTTGATCGCGGTACATTGCATGGATACATGGAATTTATATAGATTACTAGCTGACCCGGCAGACTTCGTAGTGCCTCAATCCATAAATAAAGATAAACTTAAAACAAACAAAAGGAATCCGTCCGACGGGGGACACATCTAAGGAAAAAGAAAATTGTTATTTTCATTTAATTCCGAGAATTTTCATTATATCTACCTTTTAAACCTTCTCTGGACTTCCACAAATAATTCAAGACCAAAATTAGCCAAATCGGTACAGCCGTTCTAGAGTTTTAGCGAGACTAACGAACAGCAATTCATTTTTATATATATAGATAATCGTAACTTTCAGACATTAATGTGATAATGACTTTGTATTGTGCAGTTTCTCGCTTATGGCGCGTACTAAACGCAGTCTTCTTGTGACGAATATGATGAAATGACAAATAGTAAAATACAAACTATTAACATATGTCGCAGCAACCTTTTTAAATTTCCTACCTAAGCTGATAGCCTTGAGAGGCTATTTCAGCGTAACCTTAACTAGTAGGTGAGCTCACGGGGCTCAAACCTCACGATATTGCTAACACGAACCCTAGCAAGAGCCGTGCTTCGCAAAATCTACCACCGGATCAGAAACGCGACCCACTGAGAAAATCCGGCGAGAAACTCACTGGGCTGTGTCCGTGGGTTAATTTACTCGTCGAGCGCTTCGTCGGAAGCGACGGATTCGACGAGAACGATGACCGGTGCTTGAGGTACCCAAAAGCACCGTTAGTAGATCGGGAGGATCCGAAATGACGTGTTTTGGGCGACGTCGACTGCTCTCCATTCTGCGCAGCAACCTTACCACTAACCAACAACCGCAGAAAAGATTTTGGCCACGCGCCACGATAACAGCCTAATTTGGTACCAAATAAAATAATATGAACTGACGATCGTCTATAATCTAGGAACCATAGAAATTACTAAGATCCTGAATGTTATATACATCGGTGAAATACACAGTCAACGTTTGTTACCTTACGTGCTTGAAACGCTCGCTGGACACATCGGTACTGGAAAGCCTCTTTGCAAGGTGTACTCAGTTGAAAGCTCACTGTAGCTTATGCATGTCTCACGTACTTTGTAAATGTGATGGCCCATCAAGAACCAAAATGAACATCTTCAATGAAAGGTCCACCATAGGACCGTGTCTCCGAATGATACTACATCAAAATTCATTCGAGTGGTGATTGGGGAAATGAATTGAAGACCAGGGGTATGAACAAAACCTTAAAGGTCCATATTTCGGCCGTTATATACTTCAAGTTCCTCGAGGAAAATTAAAAGCAATTTCGAGTAGGTAAATGAAGAGTGTAATTTATAATGAATCATCATCATCATCATTATGGTTCCAAGCCGGTTTCGGCAACGGCGACCAAAATTTTCTGTTCAATAACTTAAAAGCTAATGTTCGCGCCTCTCATGCGCTCTAATACGGCTATGGTAGCCTATCTTGTTCTTAACGTTCGCAAACAGAAGCAACACGTAAGAACACCACCCACGAAGTTGTAAAAAATGATGGAATATAATGAATATAATATAATAATATAATTATAATGAATACTAGTGTTTTGATATACTTATTATGTTAATTTAGGCGGAGTTCTTTTTATAATATATCTGACCCAATTAGCCAATAAATTTATGCAACTATAAAGAAGTATTGAGGCATTTCATAGATAAGTCAATATTTAGATATGCTCGGGGGATTTTAAGAGCTAATCGATAAAAGCGATAACGATAACCTGCCCTTAATACAATATCGAAGTATGTGATTAATTTAATCATTACCCAATTCGCACTTCGTGTGATACATATTAATAAAGTGATGGTAAGTAGTTTTACAATAATTAAAAAAGTGGACATTATCATTTGACATTTGATTACGATGTGAGCATGGGTCGATTATTTTATACTTTACCGAAAAAGCTTGTTAATTAGTGAGGGGATTGGCTACCATTCCCCTTTCACTGTAAAGTTATAAAATAAGGTGAAGCAATTACAACTACCACTGGATATAACTAAAACAGCTATAGGCAGGAGACGCGAAGTAGTAACAGCTAAGAATGCATCCACCCAGCTGACATAGATAGTCTCATTGAATCCAATATACTATATTATTGGTGTTGATGGATGGACAGCCAAATTAATACACAGATATCCATAACGTTTGAGACAGGTCCAAGTCTCAATTGCATTGTATTATCAGCCGTTTCATGCTCTTAACAGGAACGTATCACAGCTTCAGCAGAAATATGCAATGTAATATCGTTTAAGATTCGTAACTATTAAAATTTTAGAAATGACTGAAATTCTGAACTTTTTTTTCTCTCTAATTTCACTAATTTTATTTTTGTTCGCTTGGGTATTTGCCATCTATATAGATACTATTTGTACCCACATTCAAGCTTGACACTGAGTAGGTACATTTTACATTTGGCCGCCTGTCTAAAATTCATCTTCCTGGATTGTAGAAATTTTGTTTGGCAAATTATAATAGAAATTAAGGGGGTGTTTAGTTTCACAAAGTTTATGGTTTATGAATGTTTCAAAAGTAGTAGAAATGTTTCAAGGTCGTCCTCATCGCATAGAGAGAAATTAACATTATTTTATTGCCTTGATGACAATGTGGTCAAGGCCCACCTGGCGTAAAATGGTTATCAGAGTCCCTAGACATCATTACGTGAAAGCCGCCATCCAGCACAAGACATGAAGATTAAATCTTAATTAGGTATATTGTATAACGACTAGATCATACTTTAAAATGGAAAGCATGACTACTTCGCGGCAAAAAAGGCAGACCGTGGTACTTACCCGTATATGTTGGTTAACGTTCAAAACATGCTGGTGTGATACTTGCAGAACGCTGATGGCCATGTCTAATGAATCCCTTGGTCACGTATTATGGCATCCATCGCAATACGGGATGTACCTATACTTGAGACCTTAGAACTCATCTGAAGGTGGGTGGGCAGCATTTACGTTGTAGATGTCTATGGGCTATAGTAACCACTTAATACCAGGTAGGCTGTGAGCTCGTCCACCTATCTAAGCAATGAAAAATATAAAAAAAATTCTAGCATACATAATATACCACACAGCCACATACTTAATCAAACGCAAAAAATACTCGAGTAGTGTGTGTAAATGAAATAATATACGTTTTTCCAGATTATCTTACTTGTATTGGGAAGTTTCTTCTGCTTGATATGTGCGGAACCTCGGGGTGTGGAACCCCCAATACGGGTAGACCTCCAACCACCTGAGGAAACTCAAACTCGTTCTGCAAGAAATGTTCAGCAGAACTGGGTCACTATGCCAGTCGATCATTTTGATCCTCAAAATACGGAAACTTTTCAAATGGTTGGTAATGCTCCTTTCAATTATTAAGGATTGATGTCCTAATCTTATTTGTAACTGCTAATCATAATAATAACATTGTTGCGAATTTATGTTTTTAAATATTTTAGCGTTTTATGTACAACGAGGAATTCTTTGGTGGAAACGGATATCCAATTTTCATCCTTGTGGGAGGTGAATGGACTATTGTTGAAGGATGGTTGCGCGCGGGTAACATGTTCGAAATGGCCAGGGAAAACCGTGGATATCAGATATACACTGAACATCGATATTACGGGCAAACGTTGCCTTATCGGTAAACATTTGTGGGATATTTTGTGTACTTCATGTAACTGGAACATAGATTACGTTGTTAGCTATTGTTATGATTTTAAGACGTCTCGGTTTATAAAGTTTCAATGATACGAATTTTACGACTTATAGTCTTTTCTGCTTTATCTGGTGGTGGGTATGTCGTGAGCACGCACGTGTCATTTACTTCAGTAGCGGTTGCAAACTATTGTGTATTTTAGGTCAAGTAGTGTATTTTAACTTTACTTTTCACAGTCAGCATTTAAATGCCACTTTTTATCGACAACAATTTGGCTTCAATAATTTGAGAGGTAACTTAGTACGTACAAGTGAACAAAACCAACAGTAATTAATGATTATTAATGCATAGTTTCATTAGCAGTTTCTGATTGGTATTGCTAAATAATGAAAAATCAAGACCTAGATGAGATTTCAGATTTTCAACAACGCCTTTTTGTCACTAACTTACCAAAATATTCTAAGAAAAACAACATATTAACAAAAAGCTACAAAAAAATTACTTTGCAGAGATTTTACAACAGAAAACCTGCAGTACTTGAACGTGGATCAAGCTCTTGCCGATCTTGCTTACTTTATAAATGAAATGAAAAAACAACCTCGATTCGCAGACAGTAAGGTTATTTTATACGGTGGCTCTTACGCTGCCAATATGGTTTTATGGTTTAAGCAACGCTATCCCCATTTGGTCGAAGGAACGGTGGCCTCAAGTGGCCCGATATTGGCAAAAGTGGACTTTACCGGTTAGTTTATGAATCATTTAAAATTATTTTAAATTCAAATTAATCTTAAGGAGATGAGATATTAACTTAAAATTCGAATGAGGTAGTTACGTTAGTCGTAGGACTAGTCATGCCACACGGCTTGGGACCACCACCCTGCCTATTTCTGCCGCAAAGTTATAATGCGTTCCGTTTTGTACGATTGGGCAGACTATAAAATTGAGACAGACTCTCTCAAGATGGGTGACGGTATTCACGTTGTGATGGGTGTCAAGGCTGGTAACCAAATGCGCCAGAGTTAATTGACTCGTATACAGAATTAAAAAAACCACGAGAAATATCTCTATAGTATGCTTACTTAATGACCTGCTTAGCCATAATATTGCACCATTTACAATTTCAGGATATTTAGAAGTAGTTCACGAAGCTTTCCTTCTTGAAGGGGGTGAACAGTGTATAGCAACTATTAAACAAGGAATAGAAGATACAATTTTAGCAATGCAAACTGAAGAGGGTAAACGAGAATTGGAGGCGGCTTATAGGTGAGTTCAGATACTATTTACAGATTAACCCATTTATGTAACTGGTTGGTTTCTTGTATTCTTTTGAAAATTAACATTCCCGTAATCATTGCTATGTATACTACTTTTTATTTTACTAGACGGTCAAGCGAGATTTAGGCCCACCTGGTGTGAAAACTATTACCGGGGACCATGAATCTTAAATGAGCGGCCACCGATCACGGAATCAGTCTCAGTTGTTTCAACTATCATAAAATTTTATCAATTAATAGTTCGAATTATAAATTATAATATAATTGATACTTGAATTACCAAAGAAATTACTAATTACTGTTTTTTGTTTATATTAGATTATGTAATCCTATAGATTACAACGACCGTTTTGATCTTGGATACTTCTCAGGATTGATAAGTTGGTCGTTCTCAACGTCGGTGCAGCAAGCCCGTCCAGGAACTTTGCTAACTATTTGTAATGACTTCGCCAGTGAAACCTACGGTTTGTTTAATTATCATTTCTCAAAACCGCCTAAAGCATGGTGCACATAGGGTAGACCGAGACGAATCGGACCATTTTTTTTTTTTGAGATTATGTACATCATACAAAAATGTAATTTATGTAACTTTTATTGATAGAATTGAAATCAGCAACAATCCAGCTACGCAATAAACATTTTAAAACTTAAATTATTCATAAATTCTTTAAATTATAAACCACAAACTTGAAACACAGAAATATCCGAATCGCCCCTCGTGCAAATTTTTTTTTTTTTTCTCTTAAGACTATAAGCTTTGGAATCAATTTTTTTTTTTATAATAAATAATAATAACAATTAGTAATTACTAATACATAAATCACATACTGGACCTTTTTTCCCTTCCTATATCAGCACATTTTTCGTGGCACCATTCTTCGTATGCATGGCACTGAATCCAATATGCTGAAGTTGGATGAATAAATTTTTCAAATTAGTAAATACAATGCCAATATCTCTGTTTTGCCGATAAGCCTTTGATTTTTACTGTTAGCGTTCTGTTATTCTTCTCTTTTACATTGTCATAAGCCATTTTCTCTTTATCCAAAGCTTTTTTGTCAGTCTTATGTTTACTATTAGCGTCTTATTCGAACAAATTACTCTTACTCTGGGATGATGTCAAATGTAAAATTTATTTTGTAGTTTTACATTTCTTAAGACATTTCTCGTCCACATTGTACAATCATTCCAGTCTTCCTCTTAAATTAGTATTGTCTATTACTGTTTCCAGCCTTAAAGAATTCGGCTACTTTTCCCTTTTCATGCCGTCTATTCTTGCTCTTGACAATCCTTCTGGTTTCCGAATAGTTAACTCCTTACTTATTTTCATAAAGCGATGAAACCAGTTCTGATCAGTAATTCCTACTTCTTTATTAAATTTGTGTTGAATGTTCTGACGTTCTGCGAAATGAAGCATATATTTACGAACCGCCTTGGGTGTCATTCCGAAGCCACAAGTCGCCAAATGCAGTAAACGGTCTGCTAAAAAAGAAAGTAAGTACTTACCTTAGATGAGCGCGAAAATTGTAACACACAAATACCTGGCTTAAGCGAACAGCGCTGACACACTGATGTACTAATTTAATCAAAACACTACCAATGGTGGGAGGTGCGGGATGACCGAGGGTCAAAAGACGGTAGTCGCCTGTATTCTATTTCAACGCGTTATCCTAAATATTTAAGAATTTCTTATTTTGATCCGATGCACCCATTGATCCGATTCGCCTCGGTCTACCCTACGCACCCATTTTATTTCTATTTTTTTTTTTTTTTTTTTTTTTTTTGGTTTNAGTTCCACCTGATGTGTTTACAATTTAGGTCGCCCGCCAGAATGACAGAGCTCCCCATACCGAGCAGCGCCTCGATATCACTGCTTAGAACGATCTTATCCGGTGGAAGATAAACGGACGCGATAACGATCGGCGCGTGTCCCGTCAGTGAGATTCGGCACACTGATGCTTCGATATTAGTGAGCGCGGGAGGATCGAGCGGGATTTATTTCTATTGCCGCGGTTCAAGTGTCTGTTATCTAATTTTATTTAAAAGATTTATGAAATAACTAACTAATCTTTCTATTTACTGTTACCGATATTAGTTACATGTTAACAGATAATTTCGAATGGTAAACCGTCGACGTCGCCCAAAGCACGTCATTACGGATCCTCCTGATCCATTGACGGTGCTTTTAGGCACCACAAGCACCGGTCACCGTCCTCGTCGAACCCGTCGCTTACGACGAAGGGCTCGCCGAGCGAATTAACCCATAGACACAGCCCACTGAGTTTCTCGCCGGATCTTCTCAGTGAGTCGTGTTTCCGATACGGTGGATTTTGGGAAGCACTGCTCTTGCTAGGGTCAGTGTTAGCAACACTGGTTTGAGCCCCGTGAGCTCACCTACACACGTTAGGGTGAAGCTGAAATAGCCTCTCAAGGCTATCAGCATAGGTAGGAAAAAAAAAGATAATTTTTAAAACGACATTAAGTGCTAATTTTATAAAGATGTGTTTTTACTAAATATTCGTTTTGAGCCTACGAACTCAATAACTTTATTAATAAGAACGGTGTTTATACTCATTACTTAATTATGTTCTCTTTCGTTCACGTTTGATTCTAAATATCAGTGAGAGACCACCATTACTCTTATTTTACAAAACGCTTATATAAAAAGTTACCTGCACGATGAATGGTACGCTGGCATAGCCTCAAAGGCTACCAGCTTAGCTAGAAAAAAAAATGATATTCACGTTGTACTACGAGTATGTAGTTAGTGTCTGTCTCTAGCTCCAGTAACCACTTAGTCTTAAGTGCACCGCGATAACTATTCCTTTTGTTATTTCCTTTATATGCGGATGAGCATACGGCCCACCTGATGGTGAGTGGTCACCGTCGCTCATATTTGTCAAAAACGCAGTAATTTTCACTATATCTACCACTAGCGGCCCGCTCCGGCTCCGCTCGGGTTTTTAACAAAAATCTCAACGATATCTGACGTTGTTTTATATTTTTAAATAAAAGAACACTTATTGCGGCATAACTACAATAGTTAAGACATGTGCTGTCGCGACACTTTTTGTAATTAACAATGTGTTCTACAAAATCGTAGTACATTATTTTATTCTATCATCAATAGTTTTCGCAGGGCACGTGATGTAAAGAATATTTTAGGTAATTATTTTAAAACTTGGGTTACATTATTGGAGATTTGGTAAAGATCCCTAATTTTTTTCAAAAAAGATTATAGACTATGTCACTCGGGAATAGTGTAACTTCCAAACAGTGAAAGAATTTTTCAAATCGGTTCTGTAGTTTCGGAGCCTATTCAATACAAACAAACAAACACATATTTCCTCTTTATATTATTAGTATAGATAGTATAGATAATTCTTAGTGATTTTCTTTACCAGGAATGTTTTTATCAAATACCAATCAATGTGTATTCGTTTCATAGGAGTGACACCGATGCAAAAAATAGGCGGTTATATTGCTACTACACGTTCTCTCGGTAATAGCTGCTGGCATATGGAATATCAAGGAATTCTAAATGCTTACTCAGGAAATACCAATTGTAAGTACAAAATATCATTGAACATCAAATAAAACTAAATTCATATATAAATATATCTTTAGGGAACCATCATGTCAATAGTGGTAGGGCATATTGCGCAATTATTCTTTTATGAACGAGGGTTTACTGGTGACCCGTAGGCCTCTCCAGTTTCACGAGAACAGGTGGGCGAGCAAAGGCTCAGCCAGGAGGAGTGGGATTTGCTAACAGTTGCCTGAGCGCCTCCAAAGGAGACTTAACAACCAAAGGGCAGCTGCTTCAGGAATGAATCTACTACCAGATCAGAATCGCAACCCGCGGAGTATATCCGGCGAGAAACTCAGCGGGTTGATACATAGGTTAGGTTGCACATCGAACTCTGCCGATTTCGACGAGTTCGGTTACTGGGTTCCCTAAGCTTGCTCCCAGTGTAAAAGCTGAAGGCGTCTAATGCAAAACTTATTGGATCTGATGGAATCACAATGACTTGTCTAGGGTGTCGACGGTGACTGGCTCCTACGTGATCAGGATTCGGGGAGTAGTCAGCGGCGGCGACGATAAGGCGATTATCATGACACATAGCCTTATCGAAGTAACGTTCCGACGCTGACTTTATGTGTTTTCGCTTCGATTCGAGGTCCAGGTCGTCGTGTAGGTCGACATTCCTCACGAACCACAGAGCTCCGACAACTAGCTTGCAAAAACGGGATTGTAGGGATTGGTGTCTGTGTGAGTGTGGGCCGCGTGAGCGAACACCACACTCGCGTAGTCATAGCCGGCCTTAAGCAAGTTTTGTAAAATGTCACCTTGTCCCAAAAGGACATTTTACTTCGCTTACATATAATGGGGTAAAGTCTGCCGAACGGAATGTCATGGATGCATCCAGGGTGACTTCCAGGTACTTGACCTTCCTGGCCCAGGGAATAGGTTGACCGAAAGAGGTGATCGGGGGTGTCAAATTTCTCTTCCTAATGCGGAAGGAAATCCGTAGTTTCCCCTCTGAAATAGCATCGCTGTGGTTTTCGCTGGGTTGATGTCTATACACAATTTTCGGAACCACTGTCCAACTTACGCTTGCGCTCTGGAGCTTACCGGCAATTAGGGACTCGAGTAGTAAACGGTTGTCGTCAGCGAATAAGGCTAACTGGATCGACGGCGACCACGAGTGTCGTTATTAAATAAACTAAATAGGAAAGGCGAATTGCGCAATTTGCGAACCCGCACGACTTGGGACCACTATCCTGTCAGTTTTGCTACACAGCGGTCATGTGTTTCGCTTTGAAGCATAGGATGGTCGTTATACAATATATTTGAAACTTTGACCACAAGTCTCAAGGTGGATGGCAGCATTTACGGTGTCTATGGGATACGAAAATCCCTCGACTTTAATTGATAGTTGTGTGTTTGTAACAACCCTACACACAATACTCTATTTTGGGTCTTTAGTGTATAGTTTAGAATTTTATCGAAAGTTTGTTCTAACAATTTTGATGTTAAATTATTTTCAGCACGTGCGTGGTACTACCAGACGTGTACAGAATATGGATATTATCAAACAGCTCCGACTTCTGGCACTGTATTTGATCCTCTCGTTTGGCTCAGTGTAGAATTTTATGTGGACATTTGCAAACGTGTCTTCGATGAACGGCAAGTATTATTCAGTTAATTTTCACTCACCACAGCCCAAATATATATATTTTGGCATTGCTGAAGTCCATGGGCGACGGTAATCACTCACTATCAGGTGGCCCGTATGCTCATCTGACTACAAGGGCAATAAAAAAAAGCCACAGCGGGAGCCACACTTTGAATACCTCAGAACTTGTCTAAATGTTTTTTTTGTATACCCCAGGTTCGATGAGGCATTCGTTTATGATGCGGTAGATCGTGTAAATTTAATATTCGGTGGCCTGGAACCCAAAGTAAACAATACTATCAACATTCATGGCTATATTGACCCGTGGCGTGCTCTTGGTGTCTATGATAGAGATTTAACAGAAACCTCGCCAACATACACGGTCACAAGGTAATTTTTTTATAATTTGAATATTACATAAACTGCATAGTATACGGGTTTCCTACTAACCTACCTCGACCGTTCAGTCCGTAGTCCACTGAATCCTTTGACGCCAGGTGAATTACAAAATCGTCTGTAAATTTGCAGAATTAACTAAGTTAATAGTAAAAAAATTATACTACAAATTCAATGTACTAACTAGGGTTAAACAAGAGCTTCGAAAAATCTACTACCGGATTGGAATCGTAACACACTGAGAAGATCCGGCGAGAAACTCCGTAGGCTGTGTCTATGCGTTAGTTCGCTAACTCTTCGACAAATTCGACGAGAACAGTAACCGGTACTCGAGCTTCGACTTGTGAAAAAAAGCACAGTGGATCCGGGGGATGCGACATCAGGGGACAGGACATGTTTCCGGTGACTGCGGATTGGCTTTGCCCCGTCGCCTGTATCGGTTATGTAATTAGCAGCGGCCACGATAAGGATAAGGTTGTTTTTTTTTTCGGGCCGGGGGCCGAACCTCTTACGAGGTCCCCGCGCCTAGGGGGCGCGCGGGGTATGTGGGACTCAACGATCTGCAAGGTGTTGGAAGCAGACCGCGAGCCCAAGGAATTTTAGGGCCCACCCACTAAACGACTCCCCTGCACTGTTACACCCGACGTCCGATCTCCGTTCGGGGTCAAAACCCGGTCAGAGTAGGGGGTTCCCGCGGTCAATAATACAACCAGACACGCGGCGCCACCCCGAGGACGCCCGACCGACGGGTCGTCGAGGCGATAGTCGACGACCAACGACGTCGGTCTCCGTGGTACGGCGGCCATACCAGGCCTATTTTTTCAACGGTCCGGTCCTATTTTTGCAACGAGGACGCGGCACTGCTCCGCGAAAGCGGGGTAGTACGCGAGCGTGTGCTCCACCGTGTCCTCGTTGCAGCCACTGCAGTGGTGGCATGATAAGGTTATCGTGTCTCACCGCTTTGTCGAAGTAGCGCTCTGACGCTACCTTAGGGTACTTACGTATCGGTTCTAATTTTAGATAATCATGAAGGTAGACATTCCTTACGTACTATGGTGCTCCGACGGCTACCCTGCAGAAACGGGATTGGAAGATCTGTAGAGTTTACGTGCATGGGGCCGCGTAAGCGAACACTACACTTGAATAGATCATGACGGAACGTATGAAGTTTTGTAGTTTCACCTTGTTACGAAGGGAACTGGCGCCCTTTCGTAAATCTGGTTGAATTGATTCTCTATTAATGTTTAGGGTCCTTCAGCGTTACGAAAAAATACCAAACTGTCTTTAGTTTCTTTTTTGCACAATTTTTTTTTTAAGATTTAAAGTGAATATTGAATTCTAAGTTACTTCACTGTGATTACGGTGATCACGAATCACCGCATTTTTTGAGTTTGTAAGAAAGGGGTTTTCACGATCTATTCTCAATCGACCTTTTGTGCCTTGTGTCACCCTCGCACTGCGAAATTAAAGTTTTTAAACAATATTTATGAACAGTTTCGTTGTTTTTATTTTCCTTGATAAAATGGTAACTTTGATATGTACTGTTTTTACAGAGCATCTCATTGTTTCGACATGCAAGGTTGGCTCCGGACGGATACTATAAGAATGACAAACGCACAGCAGGCAGCAAGACGATTGGTGGCTCGATGGCTTTCAAATACATAATTGTAAAAATTATACGTATATGTTTACAAGGGATGAAAACGTAAATAAAAGTCTTCTGTTTCTGTCCGGCAATGCGCCAGACAAGATATTTATTAGTTTTAAATTCCACAATCTGTCAAATTGATATCCACAGTAAGTTTAATAAGAAACATTAAAAGGTTGAAACAGATCGAAAAATATAATCACAAGACTCACTAACCGCACTACCAAATAGTAATTATCAGCTAAATGTCAAATATACGGTTAGAAATACGCCTATACGTGCCTAATGGCGGAATTGTATTTAAAGTAGTATGTAAATGCAGTGCACTACTACTACCCTGGAGGAGTCGGTGTGTTTTCAAAATGGCTCTTTTCCACTTCATTCCTTTTCGGAAACACAACACAAATATGCCGCATAACAGGTTACCAGTTAGTATTAATTTATTAAACAGCATGCAATATTTATGTTCTAAAATTTAATTTTAAAAGTTGACTTACACTTAATAATCTACAATTACTTGGCGAACCTACAGTGCGGCACTATATTTGCAGTTAAGCGAAAGAAGGCGAAACTGAACTTTGTCAGTTTTTCATTCACTCGCTCCACTGTGACGCAACCAGAGAAGTAGTTTACTCTACAAAAAATTCATAGCACTTACATCATAAAGCTCATAACGAAGAACATTCGAGATTGTCGGCAGTCCATTAACATTAAAACAAAATAAACGTACACTTGCAATTATTGAATCATAGAATTCATTGAAGAAAATCCGAGGCAGTGTATAAAATAATCACAGATAGTCACTTCATGACTGCTACAGTTCCTGGATCTCTATATAAAGTAACCGGACTGCCGCTGTAACCCCTGAACTAACTCAAATTCAGAAATGACGGCACCACGTTTTTTACTGTGCTTTTAAACTAAAGAATACTTATCTAATTACAATGAACCTCGTAAATGCAACGGTCATCAGATTTGTCTAGTATCACAGTTCCATTGGCGAGGTTCTAGTCACATTATAGTCTAAAGAGAGACACCGGCGACGCAGCGCCCTCGCTACAATGACACACATACATAAGTGTTTATTATATACTGATGGAATATTTACATTGTTCTAATGCTCAGGTTTTGCAAGTCATTCTACAATCAGCGGCTTGGGACTCTCCCAGGGGAATCCTGCCCTTCCAAAGTGTCCATAGGTACTTGTTCTCTGATAAATTGGTGCTCTGAGGTTCAACTCTCTGTAAAATTTACATTTTACTATTATTATTAAAAACTTACATTTTATTTTTATAGCTTTGAACCAGAATATTGTTTTTAATTTCTGTAGGCTAGACATGATCATGGTCCACTTGTGCAACCTTATTACCCCTGACATCTTTGAAGTGATAATTATAGTTCTAATATAAGATGGCAGAAACATGCAGAATAGCAACCATCCCATGGGCTCACAATACCACCCGTAATTACTACTAGATGACGAGCTTAGCTCGGTTAATTTTTTTTTTTAATAACGCCATCTTGTCTTTAAAGCGGTTAGTTGCCCTCAATTAAGAAAAATAGTATTATTATTCGCCAATAGATGTCGGGAAGAGTCATAAAGTTGATTATCGATAAAGTTAAATATTGAAAACACGAATAAAACAACATTTTCTGAAAATAAATCGTAGCTAGATCGATTTATCGCCCCCGAAATCCCCTGTATACTAAATTTTATGAAAATCGTTGGAGCCGTTTCCGAGATTCAGATTATATATATATATATATACAAGAATTGCTCGTTTAAAGGTATAAGATATTTTTGGTACGATTTTTAATTCGCATTTCATGTCACACGTTTTGGTATTTGGTTATTTAATTTTGTGGTTTGTAGGCAAATTATTCTTATAATGAAGTAGAAAATAATTTGTTTATTACATTAAATTAATAATAAATAACAAATTAAATTGAAACCATTGAAAATTGGAATAATTTTACAATTTTATATAATAATATGTAATGTTTAATTCGGAGGCGCTGGCGGGACATTACAAGGAGTAAAATCATGTCGAATTATGATGGGGGAGGAATGTTTAATTATTTATTCAGCGTATAATTTTTTCCTCCACTTATTGTATCTATCTACTAAATAGTTATCTAATTTGGTTCATGTAAATGTATTTTATTCGTTTGTGATTATATAGAGAGTTCTGTTTAATGAAGAAGAGGTACAATATATAAAATACAAAACGGGCTGATTTTGAAATATAATTGATAATATGTTTCAGGACCCGGATTTTAATCATCCACTACTAATCTAGCTTTATATATATATAACAAAGTGTTCACTAGTAACTTTAGTAAATTCATGATAATTATAAATACATTATTACTAAGCAGGTCTCTTTTTAAACTTACTTGACGATTTTGCCCGGTCGTAAATCGAAATTCTTTTGTACGATGGAGAGCAGTTGTTGCTGAGTCTTATGTGAAGTGCCATAATCAAAGACTGTAATCGATAATGGCTCAGCTACACCAATGGCATAGGCGACCTGAAAATATACAATTTATTATAAATTATCATGAGGTTGAGAGTTCATTAAACGAAAAGAAAAAAAATGTAATACAATTCATTCAACCGTTTAAGATTTTTATGTTTTCATACTTGACTTTTGCATTTTTAAGTTATCTATTTGACTGCCGAATTTAAATGACAGAAAATTTAATTGAAGCAAGTTACATTTAATAAGTCTACTCATAATGAAACAACATCTCACAGAATGAGATCTGATTAAAAATGAGCGAAAATTGATACTAATAGTTAGCATCGGGAGTTGGTTTGGATGAACTGGAGAAATACAGATTGTCTTCTTATATATAAAAGGTGTTGTGTATACCTGCACCATGCAGCGCCGGCACAAGCCCGCCTTGACCAGCGACTTGGCGACCCATCGGGCGGCGTATGCTGCGGAGCGGTCGACCTTGGTGAAGTCCTTGCCAGAGAAAGCGCCCCCGCCGTGCGCCCCCCACCCGCCATATGTGTCCACGATGATTTTGCGTCCCGTCAGGCCCGCGTCTGACTACACACAAAGGCTACTTTGTCATTTAACTACTTTTAAAAAAAAATACAAACCTATTCTTTACATTAAAACACTGAGAAAAATGAAGAGATTTTGAATAAGTCTCAATAGTTCTTTGTTAATAAAAAAATTTAGAACATTGATATCTATATATATATAAAAATGAATTACTGTTCGTTAGTCTCACTAAAACTCGAGAACAGTTGGACCGATTTGGCTAATTTTGGTCTTGAATTATTTGTGGAAGTCCAGAGAAGGTTTAAAAAGTAAATAAATATGAAAATACTCAGAATTAAATAAAAATAACAATTTTGTTTTTCTTTTGATGTGTCCCCCCGTCGGACAGATTATTTTTGTTTGTTTTAAGTTTATTTTATACAAAATTTTAGGTCTTTTATATATCGATTGAGGCGCAACGAAGTCTTACGGGTTAGCTAGTTTTAAATAAATATGAAATTGAATTCATTCTGTAATAAGTAAGGAATCTTTCAAGTGGTGGTAAACGTTATTGCAAAAAAGAAGGATTGTTGTATAAGACATCACTGCTAATTGTATGTAAGAGACTATTGCTACTCTTTACACCAATTTTCCTTTTATTATTCAAGTTCTAAAATATTGGTCAGTCTCATTTTGCAACTTATTTCTATTACAGTACTCTCATTACTGAGGGTCATGGTCATGTCCATGGTAGTATCACGAAAATATTTATTAGTTTTGATATTTTAGTATTACTTAATAATTTGATAAATTTAAAAGTCAACATTAACATTAAAAACTTTTTTTGGACTATATATGTATTTATTACATCATTCTATGGTATTATTTTTACCTGAGGTCCTCCAATTATAAAAAGTCCACATGGATTAATGTGAATTACAGTTCTCTCATCAAGATATTGTGCAGGGATAACCTCTTTGATGACCTTTTCTCTGATCTCATCTCGCAAGGTCTCTAGGGTAATCTGCAAAAATAAAATAGTTTATTTTGGTAACATTAAAGTATGTTCTTTACAATATATCACAATAACCCTAATGATAAAAATGTTTTATACGGGTAATGACCCATATACACTATCAGTGACGTGAATCTACAAGCATTAAATGTATTTTTATTATCTTATTAATTCTAGTAATGCATTACATTTTGTCTTGTGTGTTAATATGAATCAACATATCTTTATTTTTTTACAATACCTCATTAGGTACTTCATTTTGATTTTACGTACCTTTTCAGAGTGTTGCAGTGACACAACTACAGTATGAACTCTCTGTGGGACTGTTGCACCACCAGCAAATACATATTCGCAAGTAACCTAAAACAATAAAGTAAATATTGTTTTGTAATACGTAACAGCCTTCAATTTTTTTTTATTGGTGTAGATGGGCATATATATGAGCTGACGATCCAGCTATTTTGAAGCAGTTACTATAAGCCAGCTTTGTGACATGAGGTCAGTCTAAATTGTATTTATAAAACGGCTGTCCCCATGCAATCACAAACGTGAATTTTGCAAACTTTATCAGAAGTGTTCGGTTATCAGGTGTTAGGTATATTTATTATAAAACTAGCTGCTTTTTAGGATTTACAGGCTTGCATGATCATATCACTGCATGAAAGTGCATTGTTCTTCTAGCGTACCGCTATAACCACAGCAAAATTTCTTTATTCGCGGGCTACTCGCGTTCCGTAAATATGGAAAAGCGTGTTTACAAAATATATTCGGTTGGATACCTACATATTGGAATTCTTTTTAACAGTGTGTATGTACCGATTAGATCCGCGAGTAATGAAATCTTTAGCCGCGAAGGTAATTGCCGGAATTGGGTCGCATTTTTCAAATCCACGAATTAAATAGTGGAAACGCGAATAAGGAGTATTTTAGATTATGAGCGTGAGATAGGTATATTATTTATAAAATATAATAGACCAATGTTCTATATTCAACATCCCTGAATTAAGATTTTCCACTGTGGATTCAAGACGAGAATATACGTCTTTCATGGAGACATCGACTCCCGCCGAAAGTCGAAATAGGACCCATGACAAAGTAATCAGTCACTAATTACTTGACCAATTAGCAATAACATATCATAAAATATATTTTATATTCTCAGAATAGCTTAGGAACGCTCTGCTTTATTGAAATCTGATCACAGTTACTTGAAGAAAAAGAAACACTACACCATGTATTGTGTGTCATATACTTTCAATGAATTCAAGTAATTTGTATTTTGATGACAGCATTTATTCAGATTTAATAAAATACCTACAAAGTTTCTTGTAAAAATTACAAGATATACATATTATTGACAAAGTGGACACTAGAGAACTAGTCAGCCAACTACTAATTGAAATAGTACTGGGATTTCATATCCCAATTATAGATAGCCTTGACTCAGCCTTCTTGAATTACTACTATTACTACTTCCTCATCATCCTTCCATAATAACAGTAATGCTATGGCATGTATCAAAGCTTCATAGATTGATACCTATGTCTGCTACAAAATGGCACTTCTTTAACTTAATAATGCACTCTAGTGTGAACTCAGTTGCCTGTGTTAAGTAATGAAATTATAATTTTGTAAAGTAGGACAACAATTATTAAATATACAAAAGGTTAATAGTCTGTAATATTACTAACCTGTGTTTTTGAATCTGGTCTTGCCCACCAAAATTCTCCATTTCGCCTGAGCTCTGCAATTTTCTGATTGAGTTTGTGTGCAAGCACTACGGTCAACGGCATACATTCTTCTGTCTCATCTGTTGCATAACCGAACATCAAGCCCTGTATAATTGATGGAAGTTTTTACTAATGTTCAGTCTATTTCTGGATAAATTAAACAATATAAAAAAAATTTTTGCTGATTTTTAGACTATAAATTTTCATAGCCAGGTTAAATACCAAATTTTGAGAAGTACTTAAACTATACTTCTGTTTTTTGTGACATGTTTCAACAAGCTTGTTAAAATGTAGTGTGCAATATTCATTAGGATAGTGTGATAACCCTTGACAAACAAGTTAGATGATGCAATAAACAAATACAAATACATTTAAATGAAATAACTTGAGAAATTAGATTTGAAAACACACAAGCGTTTTCAACATAAGAATTACTCAATGAACATGACAATGATAAAATAATGAGTCCAGTTGAGAAAGTAAATAAAGATGTTTTTCATTAATTTAAATATTATTATAATTAATTTATCAAGTAAGTTATATTGATTTATGAATTTACCTGGTCTCCTGCCCCAACTTCCTCGTCATTTCTGTTCTCATGCACCCCAGCAGCAATGTTTGGTGATTGTTGGTCTAGTGCGAGCATCACACTGCATGTCTTGTAATCAAAGCCTGGACCCAACATGCAAATCTTTATAACTAAATAATTGAAGATGTTGTGTGATACACCTCTAATTTTATTGCCTCATCCGAGACTAGCCGTGATCATGAATCAATTAATCAAATTATAAATATAAAATGAATAAATCCTTGTTAACATGCAGAAAAAAATAATGATCTCCAATAACAAGTTCTTTTTCTTGATATGACCCATTTTTTGCCTCGTGCAGCAGGCTTTAAGATAGTTGATACCTGATCTCCAGCCCCTATATCTATTTCTTCTCGGTCAAGATACACACCCTCAGCAATATTTGGACTTTGTTCTTCAATTGCCACTAATAAGTTAAGTGTACGCCAATCAAAACCTAACATTAACAGAACAATTAGTGTTATCACAGAATTTCTGGGATGGCAAAGCACGCAGTTCATGTAAATTGTAAACTATTGCACCTGGCTTGAAGCCAAATAACTGGCTAGTTTAAAGCAGCAAGATTTCAAGGATAATGTACGTACCTTTGGACGAATCATCATAACCAATATGTTTGACCGTTTCGCGCACAACTTTTTGATAATCCACGTTAGCTTTGGATGTGATTTCGCCACACAAAAGCACCATACCGGTTTTAGTTATGGTTTCTGTAGGATATAAATAAACAGTTACGACAGAAGATAATTTTGCACACTATTTATTTATTTACTGGATAACTTACCACATGCAACTTTTGCGTCCGGATCCTGATTCAGGTGCGCGTCTAGAATAGCGTCGCTTATTTGGTCGCACATTTTGTCTGAAATTGAAAACTATTTCAGGTTTTGACTCGGGCAGTAAGATCGTGGTTATTGTTGTTTAGCTTGCACCACGTGTTGCGATTATTTTGACAAGAATACATAATTGACCGCTAGAATGTGATGTAACAAAACAATGTAGCTACTATACCTGCCGTAATGTACAACATATTAAGTATTTTATGCAAGCTTTAACAAAGGATTCCATCAATTAATGAGATTACATATAAACTTGAATAACATTAGTTTTCGTTATCTACGCACATGCCCGGGCGGCCATTTTTCGTAGGTATCGCAAGATCCCAGTATTAAAATTGATGAAAAACTAACCTGGATGACCCTCGCCAACAGATTCCGATGTGAACAAAAATACTGATCCATCTTCCATATCATAACTGTGTCCGTTGGTTTTCGCGTATCCATTCATTTTTGAAGTCTCCGGCATTCTGAATTTAGAGTTAGCCCACTAATATAACCCCAAACAGTCCCCCTGAATTAACACTGTGGAAAAGAGGTCCATTTTTAGATCACACTGATATTTATAAGGTCGGAGAGGCGCTATAGAGCAGCACAATTTGTCCAATCAAATTGCTGGGTTTAATCATTGTCATGAACACCATTGGCTAAAATATATTGTTTTGGTTTTGTCAGCCAGCGACGACAGATAACGTAAATTACTGCCATAGCCGCCAAAATTTAAATAAATAAAGCGACATACCTAAAATAAATACAAACAACAAATATGTAGTTATAACATTATTCTTCGACCAAAGATGGTCTCTAGAAGAATTTTTGCTTTATTAAATTTAATATATTTAAATTAGAGAATTATGTTTTTAGGTCACTGATTTTTTCATTTTTTTATGTATTATTCACACAATAAACTATTATTGCTCAAGATGAGCTAATACACACACGGCCCGCATGTTATCGAAGCCTATTGCCACCGCAATGTTCATTCCTTAAAACAATGACGTAAGAGTGAAGTCTCAATTGCATTGATACAACAGTTGTTCTACTCTTCTGACCAAAATACTTCATAGTATATTGCTGGATAGCTTAAATAATTGATTCAGTTAGTTTGAAATAATATTTCAACTCAACAGAAAGCTTAATGAAAGAACGAATAGAACACGAAAGTTAAAAAAAAACTATTGTTATGTAATTTTTTTAGGCTTGCTCTTTGTTATCCTCAGTTGACTGGTAGATAACGACTTAGACAGTAAGTCCGCAAAATTGCATGGATTTTAAGGAAGATATCCAAAGTTTTAAGCTTCAATAAATACTTGGCTACCTCATTGAGTTACATTTTATGTTTTCCACAAAAAATCAATAAATGTAATAGCAGTAAAAGCTCTTGTAGATATTATTACAGCATCAATGAAAACTATGATATTTATAAAATAATAATTTTTGAATTTCGGAACACACGGAAATTAATTTTGGAATTGAGAATGATGAATACGAACCTTAAAAATTAGTAGTTCACAAACACTATTTCACTTAATGCAGACGACTCTCCGACACTTTTTTCATTTAATGAATGCAATAAAATATTGACGGATGAGTGAAATTAAATACGTTTGTTCATCACCAGAATGGAACTGCAAATGCTCGTATCTCTAAATACATGGGTTTTACATAAACTCTAATTAAATGTCGCAATTCATAAGCATCGGGCATATTCGAGATCTCTTTTGATAATAAAAAAATATAGGGTTCTGCGTATGAACCATGAACTGTTTTTAAAACATACTAATGTCTTCTGCTAAGTAGCTAGTAAGGGTGAATTTTTTGTATTAGATAGAAGATAGAAAGGAATAATATTGTGAAGTTTGGTATCTTGAACGTCACATTTCACAACTTCACATGTTTGCTTTCATTTTCAGATATAGATTAAATAAAAATAGTTGACGTGAAAAACTTACATATCCACGAAAGAAGTTGATATCTTGTTGAATTTTTATAATATAGATTTAAAATATGTTTTTAGTTACTATTTAGCAACGTTCACTACAGTGGCGCAGAAGATACTTAATAATTCTTAAATAGAATCTCTATATATAAAAATGAATTGCTGTTTGTTAGTCTCGTTAAAACTCGAGAACGGCTGGACCGATTTGGCTAATTTTGGTCTTGAATTATTCGTGGAAGTCCAGAGAAGGTTTATTAAGGTCATAAATATGAAAATGCTCGGAATTATATAAAAACAAACAATTTTGTTTTTCCTTTGATGTGTCCCCCGTCGGACGGATTCCTTTTGTTTGTTTTAAGTTTATTTTATACAAAAGTTTAGGTTTTTTATTTATAGATTGAGGCACTACGAAGTCTGCCGGGTCAGCTAGTTTTAAAATAAAAATAAGCATCATTAAAAATACTTTAAATTATTCTCATTGAAAAATAAATAAAAAGATATATAAATCTATAAATATTAATTTAACAGTCATTATTTATTTAATTATTATAGTTTTTTTTTTGTTTCAACGACACGGACGAATGCACATTAAATTATTATGAAAACTATTTATTGTTCAGCAGGTGAACTGCTTTTTGACCATAAGAGCTGTATTATCTAAGTATTTTAGGGTCCTTATTCACATTTTAAAATGATCGACAAATTTTATTCGAAGGCTAGCTGTACCCGTCCCCTTCGCTGGGCATTTCAAATTAACATTATTATTTTTTAACCCCACCAATTTTCTCATAATTAATGCCCCTGCAACTGGTGTAGGGAGTCCAATAACCAAAATAAATATTAGCCTATCCATTAAGTACATGTATTTTCTACATGGATACCAAGTTTCAAGCCAATCGGATGCACGGTTCAGTAGTTATAACGGAACATCCGTAAAAACCACTGTAGATTTATATATTAGTATAGAGTTTAGATTGGACTTAAAGCATTTTTTTTAACTGGAAATACCACAATGAAACCCCTAATATTAGCATGCTATATATTATGAAAGCCTCAAAAGCTCTTCATTTAAGGTTAAATAAAAAACTACTAATTGTTTAATTGTATCATATATAAAATTGACTACTTTAATTTGCAAAAACTCATAAATTTATTTCAATGACAAATACACGGGTTAAACTTACGATAATTTTGTTGGACAAATTTCGGTACTTCGGAATAGTAATCAATTCTTTCGTTAATGTAATCCCAAAACGACCTACATACGAATTTTGTGAAAATATACATTTTTCTTGCACTATGCCGACCTTATATAAATACTGTCAATTCATTTAACAATTTAGATAATAATGATACACTTTGAACCACGTCGATAACTCAATCGTGATAAAAATTCGATTCCAACAATTATCTACAAATTCGTATATACGTAATAAGTGACGCAATTTATTTCAGTTTTACAGTTTACTTTAAAGCCCAATTTCAATATACATAGAACATAGAATTATTTTTCAAGAAATTAATTCAGGAGAAGCAAAAGAAAAAATCCTCACACATTTGATAACAAATGTCGTAAGTCAAATGCAATAGAAGGCATGAAGTACAAATGCTTATGTGGCAATAGATAGTCGTTTGTAATTTGCTCAAATAATTACATCATTTAATTTATTTTTAGCTGGTGGTAGGACCTTTTGTGAGTCCACACGGGTAGGTACCACCACCCTGTCTATTTCTGCCGTGAAGCAGTAATGCGTTTCGGTTTGAAGGGTGGGGCAGCCGTTGTAACTATATGTACTTGAGACTTTAGAACTTATATCTCAAGGTGGGTGGCGCATTTACGTTGTAGATTTCTATGGGCTCCAGTAACCACTTAACACCAGGTGGGCTGTGAGCAGGTCCACCCAACTAAGCAATAAAAGAAAAGAAAAAAGCTAACACCACGACGTCATAACCAACTATAAATCACCGAAAGTTAAAGAATCGAGGGAACGATAAGAATTCTAGCTCCACATCCTATGGCTTTTGATCGCTCGATCTCGTGCGTTGTTGTTCTATAGAGAATAAAATATTTGAAGTTGTTATTTTTTAAAATTGGCAAAGACGGCTAATGCTTCTTCAAAAAAAGAGGAGGAGGTTCTTAATTCGACTGTATTTTTATTTTTTATGTGTGAACCGTATTGATGTTTTTTTTTTTTTTTAAACTGGTACTTCTCATGTAGTTAGTTCCATTTAATTTCTATTAAGATCTGACCACATTCACTTCGACTACATTAATTAATAATGTTCTCATTTTATTTTGTTGTGGCGGGAAAAATACATTCTCCCATTTCACGATGAGCAGGAGAAAAGTGGATATCGGTGTTTCTTTCAGCATGTAGATTCCCAGTTTTTTTTGGAAGGTAGACGATCTTAAGTCTCATCTGATAGTGAGTGCTTATGTGTTGCCATCATCAAATGTCTTGGCGACAGCAAAGTCAGCGACAATAGCAAGCCGATGCCTACTGCCGAGGGCTTGCTTCAAACCTCGTTTGAAAAGTCAGAGCACTCAGAAATGACTTAGTAGCACTTAGTTTAGTAAAAATCTGCACGATCGACTTGTCTAATTCTGTTGTGTAGTTGGTAATCATGTGTTTGAAGTGTAGAACATCTGTTACTCTAAAGCAATTGAGACTATAACCTCATTAGTGAAGAGAGCATTCACGGTGTCCTGTAGTTGGTCTCTGTTATCCACTTAACATGAACTAGATTCTCAGCTTGTCTCCTTTTTTTAGATAGTGAAAATCTTTTTTTTTTCAGACGTGTTAATAAAATTAATATGCAATGAAAAGTTAATTTGTTAAATTCGGATAAAGTACTTAAGATAAAAGCGGAAAATAAAAATAATTTGCGAAGTTAGGCATACTATAAGCTAAGCATGGCATAAGTACTTTTCGTTTTAGTGATTTCATATTTCGTGAACTTGAAATCAAAGGTCTGTGCAGGCATCAACGAAATTAGAAAAATACTGGGCATTTAAAATTAACTTTATTATTTATTGTCATTATAATTAGGGAGTCTTAGCCTATCCATTAAGTACATGTATTTTCTACATGGATACCAAGTTTCAAGTCAATCGGATGTATGGTTGAGTAGTTATAACGGAACATCCGTAAAAACCATTGTAGATTTATAATATATTAGTATAGATATAGATTGACTTCGCATCTTGGAGTAGGCAGTTGGTGAACATCAGAGAGTTGAATGGTGAACATAGTCTATACTTAAGCAAGGAGGCATGAGGACACAGATCCCGCGCGTTTGCTTGTTTTTGTATTCATTGCGTGTATATCATTTTTATAATGATAATGTTAGGAATAATCAGCTCTAGCGCTAGGTATGAAACGATTCCCTATAAGCACAATACGAATTCACCATATTTAAATGACGTAAATGATTTAAATGAATTTATATTTTAGTTATATTAAACAATTAGTCAATTAAGCAATGTTCGTTTTATGTGAGAAATTTCAGAAAAATGTCTTTATTAAATTTCTTATTTTTATCAGGTTGTGCTTCGAGATTGTCTTGCTATATTATTATTGGAATATTAATCTTTGGGTCAAACGATA